GGTAGAATTTTTTAACCCTCATGTTCACAGTTCACATAATATATGCTCTTGTTCTGCTTGTGGGTAATTTAGTAAGTGGAAAAGAGTTAATGAAAATATCAAATGGTACTTTAAAGATCAATGACATATAATGTATTATTTGGTGAGTGTTGTCTTGGGCATAAGTAAATAAAGTAAATTAATTTTAAGTGGGCTCATTTATTGGTTTGGTATTTTAGAACTAAGTGAATAAAGTGAGCTAATTTTAAGTGAGTTGATTTATTGGGCTGGACTATGGACACTATCTAAAAATAAAATCAAAGCTAGTACTTAAAAAAAAATTAAAGGCTTGGGCTTCAGCCCAGCCCAGGCCAATGCTACATCCGTCTCTGCGATCGGCTCGACAAAAAGAATCTGATGGTGGGTCACCCGCCTAAACTGGATGCTACGTGGCGTTGGAATTAAATTGAATAGAAAATATTTCTAATAATTTTGGATGAGTTATTGAGTGAGCAAATCAAATACGATTGGATAAAAGTTTTTTAGTACTATCGTCTCGACGAGAAGAATCAACTGGTGGGCCACACTGTAAAAATTGGGGCATTACAAACTATATTATTTATGTTTTACAAGTAACCAATATGTGATCTTCTGTTATTTGTGATTGACCACAATATTCCAATGTATAACATCAGAACATAGGACAAATTAATTAAACATGATTCTCATTCAGAAAGAAAGACAATTAAGCAAAAAATCAAACTTTATGTATATACACTGACATGCCCCTCCATGTCATGAAGGGTTTATATTATTTTGACCCTTTTTGTTGACACGTGGCACCTGGGGGACTTGGTCTTTATCTCTACAGAAACAATTAACTACTGCAAGTGGTGTCTTAAAGAGATGCTTGACAAATTTGTGATTCAAAAGCGCTGTTGGGTCCTTAAGGAGGCACGCTTGTACAATCCAAACTTGACTGGAGAATTTTTCTTCACATTCTTGCTTTGCATCTGAAAGTTGCTTTTCGTGTTGCTTAACTAGACTCCAATGGTGGCAGTTATCCCTCCTCAAGAAAGCTTTGCAACACCCGTCGGCTTCGCATATGCCCTCGGTGGTCCCTCCAAGAGCTTCATCGACCGCCGCTTCTTTGGTCTGAAGGACATCCCTATCTCCTCCTTCACCCAATCCATCTACCTCACCGTACTCGTATACCCCATCGTCATTAAAAAGAGACGAACCCTCATACTCGGTCAAACCCTCGACATAAAAAATTGGCAGACTCGTATATTTGGTCAACCCCTCATCGTCAAAACGAGGAGGACCCTCATATTCAGTCGACCTCTTGTATCCAAGAACTCGGCAACTTCCACACCATTGGAGAATTTCGAGATCTCAACTCTAAAAGAAGCCTCCTATCGCCGACCGTTGGCAAAGTAGTTCTCGTCTCGTGCTGCCATATTACCAAAAGGACGTACCTTGGATATGGTGGCGTTAAAGTCTCCGTCACCGACAAACTATTGAGGCGATCGGGAGCAGGGCGCCCCACGCGTGCCCGACTGCGTCAATCCATCATTCCCCCGTGGCGGCCACGTCCTCCGTCGGACCCGCAGTTCATTTGCTTGCCATGAAAAGCAGTATGTAGAGCCAATCGGATGTCCTCGATCCTCGTGGTCAGATATGCAATTTCACGACCCACCACATTGAATTGGCGATTGAAGCCCACGGTCAGATCCGCGACTTGTCCACCCAAAGCGTCGATAAAGGCGTCACGCCTGTCGTCTGTAACATCGTTCCTTTTCGGCGACATCGTGAATTGTTCTCGTCTCTAGACACCAACTGACGTAGCGAAAGCATAACAAAAGGGATGAAACAAGATAAACACTCTCAAATATCTTTACTAATCAAATTCAAATGATTAAAACACAAGAGAATATGAGTCTTTGAATAGAACTCCTAAAAAACCCTAATCTTGTCTAACAAGTAAAGAATAATTAAATATCTATCCTACGAAATAAATGACTAGAATAATTAAATAACTCTAATACAAACAGGGGTGTATCTAGAAAATACAATGAGGGGGGGCCTAATTATTTAATAAAAAATATAAAATATTATAAGGAAAAGTGCAAATACAAAATCATGCATTCATAGTTGTTCTTTACGAGTTTTCATGGCCTGATATCGCTCGATAATAACATCATTACTGATTTTCAAGAAGGTTTCCTTTTCTACATAAACTAATAGTCTATCATTTAACCAATCATCACTCATTCAATCGCTCAATCTATCCTTAATAATATTCTTTGCCGAAAAATATACTCGTTCCGCGCTAGCTGTTGCAACCAGTAAAACCGACCCAAAGTTAAAAGTTTGTAAACCAATGGAAACACTTTGTGCTTCTTCGTCTACACCAACTTTTCAGCAAGTTCACCGAGTCCTTTCAATTCCTTAAACAAATTGTTGAAGCGCATATAAAAAATATAGTTTTGCAACTAATCCTCGAGAATGAGAACATCGAATATAGAAAAGTCTTGAGGATAGAACTCGGCCATCTTGACTAATTTGCCCTTGTCGAAAGCAAAAAAAGAATCTCGTGGAGATAAACAAGCTATACAAAGTAGCAACTTCGTACTAGCCTCTGAGAAACGATCATGTAACTCTTGTAGTTGCAAATCAATCACGGCACAGAATAAATCAACTCGATAATGATGCAAATTCGTTATTTTGGGTGCATTACGAAGTGGACCACCGCGAGTCATATTGGGGACATCAATAGAATGTTTCTCACAAAACTGACAAAAATCATCAAATAATAAATCACATCCACTATCTCTCAACTCTTGAAGTCGATATTTACAAATTCTAGCCAAATCCATTGCATTCACAATATCTTGGTTTCTCATTTGTAGTGCTTGGGACAACTCATATGATATTCCCAAGATGATTTTCATCATATGCAAATTGAGCACAGATTCAAAGCAATGAATCGACTTCAATAATATCTCCACCTTTACCTTTTGGATAGAAGTAGAATATTCATCGGCATAGATCACATCAAGAACATCAGCCACGGGAGAAAATAAAGTAATCAAGCTAATCAAAGATCTATAATGCGAACCCCAACATGTACCACCCGGCCATTGAAAACTAGTTTCTTGGTTTAGACCCCGTTCACTTGAAATCTCAACCTTTTCTAGTGACCCATCAATATAGCTCATTTGTTTTTCACGAGGAAGATCACAACGTTTAGAAGAACCCCCCAACAACATTTGTCAATTGAGAAACCACCCGAAAAAAATCAGCAATTGGAAGATTCTTTGTAGCCACAGCTACAAGGGCTAGTTGGAGCTGATGAGCAAAACAATGCACATAATGTGCACTTGGATTCTCGTTTAAAATAAGTGTTTTTAAACCATTATGTCTCCTTGCATATTACTAGCCCCATCGTAACCTTGCCCTCGCAATCTAGATATGCTCAAATTATGTCTCAACAACATCTTGTCAATGGCATCTTTAAGACAAATTGCCGTAGTACTTGTGACATGTTCAACTCCAATAAAATGTTCTTTTACATGTCCACAAGAATCTACAGTCTCAAAATAATGAACATTTGTTCTTTAGTCGATATGTCACGAGATTCATCAACCAAAATCGAGAAAAAAGAATCCCCAACATCTTTTAATATCACATTAACAGTTTCTGCTGCGCAAGTATAAGATAAATATTTCAAGATACAAGGAGCTGTTAACTTGCAATTTTTAGGAGCATTTTTCATTGTTACCGAAGCAATACCATCATTATGAGCTCTTAAAAGTTCCAGAGTGACAAGAAAATTACCTGGATTAAGAGAATCCTTCGATTCATCATGACCCTAAAAAGGTAGCCCCAATCGCAACAAATGTCGTGCACAATCAAGAGATCCAGTGATCCTAATGCGATAATCATACCTCATTTGTTTAGACTGTTTTTCTAGAGCTGTTTGAATATGCACATTTTGATTCATCAGTGCATCACAGTTCATGCGCGCTTGATTGTGTTCACTGTCATGTTTCCCGACATGAACATCAAGTCACGATTTCTCTTTCCAAGATCTGAACCCCTCTGTAATAAATGTTTCCCCTCCTGATTGTTTTCCTCTATTTGGTTTAAAAAGATAACAATAGAGACAATATGCAACATCTTTAGAAATGCTATACTCCAACAACTCATGTTCAGTAAACCAACCAGCAATAAATCTGCTGGTCTTTGTTGATGACGTTGAGGCTTTCGTCATGGGAAAATGGTGATCAAATGGTTGACAAGGGCCTTTCTGCAAATATGCTCTTCGAACTTGGTCTCTAATCTTTAGACTATATCAGAGGGAAGTTGAGAAGAATCGAACTCCTTGATCACCATTAAGCTTGTGATCATATTTTCTTTATGCCCAGTGATACAAGAATTTTCCTCAAATCTATTTTGGATTCAAAGTATCTCCTTTTGAGACATTTTCACAAACACTTTGTTGACGGGGCCTTTTTTGAAAATATCTCTCCATAATATACAAAAAATAATTTATAAACTTACAATCAATAAAATTCTCTATTTTGACATATATATCACACTTTAAAGATCTATAAACACCTTAGGGATTGAATTTGCAATTTCTACATAAAAATAATAAATTTACCATTACCTAAATAATAAATATTTATTTTTAACTCAACCAAAACATAAGGAATTTCATTACCACGCAAATCGTCTCTTGAACAATTGGACCAAAATTTTCTCTCTTTTCCCTCTCCTCTTTTCCTTCTTTTTTCCCTCTTTTTCTTCGTATATGTCGTTGTGCTTCTTGCGAGACTGAAGTAGTGCCCAGGACACTATTATTAAATTGGTTTATTAATGGGCACAGCCTATATAATATGGGCTATATATATGGATATAATATGGGCTATATATATTGTAGCGCCCCGTTAATTTATGAATAATTATAGGATTATTTTTATTATTTATTTTATTTGCCCAGAATTATTTATCATTATTGTTATTATTAATTATTATTAATGTCATTATTATTATATTACTATTTTATTATTATTATTATTATTATCTATTTTAATGCCTATTTGTCATTAAATGATTAAATGCCTATTACCAATATTATTAATTAATTAAATAATGTGTGTAGTATACATATAAATAAAATCCGATTGTTTTTTTATATTTGTCGAACGTCGAACCGAGCTTCGTATAATTTTCGAGTCGAGTCCAAGAGAACCGGTCGACTTTGAGTATTTTTCTGTAGCCATTTTGCAATCATTTTTTCTCTAGCCCATTTGATAAATATTTCGGCCTAAATTGGAGTTAAAATAATATGACTATGTCATTTTATCTTGCAAGCCCAAAACAGATATTAAATAAAATTTCCGTTCCTTTTCATTTATCAGTCGCGACCAAAACAGATAAAACTTTATCTGTTCGTGAATTATAGGCGCGATTTCCGAATGAGAATTTCCCTCAACAAAACGCACGTTCTCCCTCACCCCAGCTATATACATGCGGATGAGATAACTTTTTTTTTTTGAAAATCACGCCTCCAAGCTCTTATCTATCCCGTCAAATGTTCACGCCCTCAGTATATCTCTCTCTCTCGCAGCAAAACAATCAGTTCCTCTCCCTTTCATCAGATTTTTCCGATCACCCCTCACCTCCATCATCATTTTTCACCTGCCATCCTCTCGCCATTTTTCGGCGCCAGCAAACCAACAGCCCCGACCACCGCTGCAATCTCCGGCGAGCGACCACTGCTGCTCCTCCTCCACCGACGAGCTCTTTTCCTCCGCTCGCATCGCCGTCGAGCCGTCAGCAACCCAGCGAAGCTCTCTTTCCCGGCGAGTTTCCCCCGACCGCGACCTCAGCAACTTCGGCCATTCACGCGTGCAGGCCACGAGCAATTCCGACGTGAACCAGCAACGACCGAACTCCCCTCCTCCGGCGACCCCAGCAGCAACGCCGCGACCCGAGCCCTCCTCCGACCCCAGCAGCCCCCGAGCCTTATTTTCTCGTTCTTTTCTGAGCTTATCCCGAGAACGGTAATGAGACTCTATCTCTCGTTAATTCTCTACGTGTTATATTCGGGCTAAGATTATAAGTCCATACATATATCGTGCAGATACGTTACGTTGATTTATTCGGTATTTCGTGAATTGACGTGGATTATTTGGCCCTCGTTCGTTTATGTTAAACCCTATCTTGTTGTTGTGATTAGTCGAATATATATGCTCGTTTAGGGTTGTGTTGAGGAGAATTGTATGAGAAATATGTGTAGTTAATAGAGGCGAAGTTCATTTCGAATGCATGATTTTTTTAGAAAATACTGCCCTGTTATGCTGCTATTATGACCCTCTGAACCTCGTAATTTGAAGTTTCTATCTTCTTGTGAAATGTAGTAAGTTAAGTTTTCTGTATCTGGGCTTTAAAATTTCTCCATTCCGAGTTATATCGAATAAGTTATGATTTTTACGAGAATATTGCGCGTCCAGCTTTTCTGTTACCCAGCAGCATATGTGTAATTAATGTGTGACCTGTTTATCATGTCGTAATGTACTCGTATGAATTTATGATTTTCATGAAAGTTATAGGTCTGTTTCTTACCTTTCAAATGAGATAAATTTCATGATGATATGTGCTCTGTAGCTCGAGTTGTGTTCTTATGAAAGTAGACATGCATGAGATAGGGCTTTGTATTTTGGCAGAAATCTGATGTTGAATGTTAACTGATTTTACACTATTCAAATGACCTTATATGCTTCTGTGTTCTAAATTCAAATTGTAGATTCCTTCTTTAGGTTTAATGTGAAACTTGAACCATGTCGTTTGGAGGTCTGTAGCTCGATCTAGATGATAAACACTGAAGTGTTGTCTTTATCACATGTTAGTCTCTGACAAGTTTGCTGAATCAAATGTTTTGTGTTTAAACTCGCTGATAATGTGATTATTTGCCAATTTGATCTTCATCAACGTTGTAGATATTTGAGTTATCTATCATGTGGTTTTTGAATCTCATTGAAAGCATGCCTGTAGCTCCAATTAGCTATCATTTACTGAGGTCTGGTCATTTTCATATTCCCAGTTTTGGACTGTGACTCTATTTTGAATGTTTGCTGATTTATCACATGTTAAATAGCCTTATTTTCTTTCAGTGTTTTCATACGAATTGTAGATGCATGTCTTAGGGTTCCAATTCAACTTAATTCATGTTCATATGAGTTGTGTGCTGAGAATTATATAAGTTTTAAAAACGCTGCCCGGGTTAAGTTTTCATAAACTTATGCGATATTTTCGAAAATGTGATGTCCTTGATTTAATGCATGCTTAAATGCTTATGTGAGCTTAGTTGGACTAAGTGATTGTCGAATAGTCTTTGATAGGGCTATTTTTATTAAATGTAGGTGCTTGACGAGTCGAGCTCGCCGCCTATACTCATTTTGTGATTTATCTCGATTCTCAGCAGGTGGGTTAGTTATTCTAAAATATCTATGCATATGTGTTTTGTTTAAATATGTTTAACCAGTATGATCTATGTATGCATGTGAGCATGTAGCCTATCGATGTGAGCTTGATGGCCATCGGTACGGTTGTCCCCGTATATGAAATACGGTTACCCTTACGAAGTAAATCTCATTAAGACCTATGAGAAGGCCGTGTCATTGATGTGGCACGCACTCTCATGTTTCATTGATATGGTATGGCTGAGCTTTGATGAGCGTAGATGTGCACTTGAGTGAGTCTTTGATGAGACTAGAGTCATTGATGTGACTAGAGATGAGACATGATGTTTATTGTTTATGTTCATGCTGCGACCATACCATCTTAACATATTCTGAGTTGTTTCATATGCATAGTGTGAGTACAATATTTTCCAACTGTACTCACTCCCACCTGCTCTTCACGGATGCAGGTTAAGCAGCTGGCGGGTGACGAGGCAAGACGAGTGGTGGTCTGTTTAGTTTACTTATGATTGCTTTGGCTTCCGCTTTTATGAACTCATGTTGACTTGGATTTTCCTTTTCTGCGTGTTTTGGGATATTGATATGTCGTTTCAAAACTTGGATAATGTTTGATATCATGGTTTGGGAACTTATTAAATGCTAGTAAAGTGTTATAATTAATAGTTCTTGGTAGTTAAGTAGCGCCTACTGAGCTTTAAAATTTAATTTGCGATTTGCGAAAAATTTATTATGATTTTTATTAAATAAATTCGATAAATCTTTCAAAATAATGTGAGGCGTTACAGTTTGGTATCAAAGCCCATGTGCGTTTCTGTAGACTGGTTTATATGTGATTAGACCTTATGTTATGACCACTCGTCTTCGTCACGCCGCACTACTTAAAGTTATGTTTTGTATAAGTATCAAAGAAGATACTTGTAATGTGAGATTTGTATTTTTACATAAGTAGCAATGAAACTGCTTATGATATGACTTATTGATATCTGGGGCTTAGGATCTATCCACCTTTGATCAATGTTGAACTCTAGTGATGTAGAGTTAAGTTCGAGCTCTAGTGGTTCCTCGTTGTGAGTTTCAGTATATTGTTATCGAGATAAGTTACGCCCATCGTAGTTTCCTTTGCCATATAATTCTATTCAATGTCTCCAAGTGAGGACCCGGTCAATTAGAACCGGGAATGTTTTCGCCCTCTTCGGACCTTTGCCAGGTTTCGAAAATTATGAGATGAGTCGATGTTTTATAGACCGCCAGTATTATGGATGTTTATGTCCTCTGTTCAACCTCTGGTATTGTATGTCTCTTGTGTCTTAGTAAGAGTGAGTTCATGTTAGCTCGAAGCATGAATAGTTGGGTAAGTGATAAAGATATGTGTTTTATTGATGCTCTAGCATGTTTATATGATTTGGTTAAAAGCTAGAAAATTTCTCTCGAAACTTGTGTTTTGATGAGATAAGTATATTAGGTCGAGAGTCTCGTTTATATCATGATAGGTTTGTTTGGGTTCGTTTGATATATATGTGATCTTCGATGATGAATGTTGAATTTATATTATGAAATGTTAAATCGTGACCCTCGCCTTATTACTATGTGTTGTATGAACGTTTTGAGTTCTTAAAGGCATGAAAAACTCAAAATTTGAGTCTCAGTTGTGCTCTGTTTTCGTCGACCAAGAAGCTGTTTCTTGGACAAGTGTTCTTCTTGAGTTTTGTAGTGCTTTAAGGTAGGTTTCAGTAGGTTTTGTAGTCTTGTGATTAAGATTTGAAATGGATTTTATATGAATTTTCAAAGGCAGACTGGCATGCAGTTTTTATAAAATTGGGCAGAGACCTTGACCTTAATTCATGGTTGTTTTTGATGATCTTAACGTGTGCCTGCATGCAAATGTATTCTTCATGACAAATTAGTATATGTTGTAAGCTTCCTATACAAATTAGAATTATGCAATTTGGAGTTTTGGTTGATTTTATATGATTTTTCTAAGTTGGATTTATGCCCAGAATTTTGAAGCAGTAGCTGTGTGTATGCTCTGAATTGATGCCTTTAACGTGATTATATGTAAAAATGCTCTTCATTAAATTTGTAGCTTTCCTTGTGTAGTTTCTGGAGGTTTTGAGTTTGTATGATTTGGAGCTCTATAACTTGAGTTATTGTTGTTTTACTTAAGTGTTGGAAGTTGATAAATGGTTATTCTGACAGATTTCTTGACCTAAGTGTTTTATGCTTAAATTCGGTTTTTAAAGTTATTGTTGGCTTAAGTGGTCTGCATTAAAGTCATGAAGATATGTGCTAGCTACTCATTGGTTTTGGAATCACCTGAATAGCATGCTTGTAGCTCCAGTTATCTTGGAAATACTGAGACAATATGAGTTGTTTATTTTCATTTTTGGACTGCAACTATGTTTTGTGGTGTTGAATTATCTATGTGACGATGTCAGAATTTGTTAAAGTTGTCTTCATAACAATTGTAGCTTTAATTCTTATCTTTCCAATAGTGTCTGATTCATATTTTTAGCATGACTATAGCTCGAGTTATCCTCAAAATGCTACCATCATATTTGAATGTTTATTACTGCACCTATGTTTTTTATGTTTGTTATATTATGTGCCTTTAAATGACTTTATCTGCCTGAGTGTTCTTCATGAAAGTGATAGAGACATGAGTTAGGGATATCTTCCAAGTGGGTTCATCATGATATGATTTGTAGACTGAAAGCTATATGCATTTTTAAATTCATCGTGCATGCTCAAGATTGGTGCAAGTTCATGTTTAGGTTTCCAAATTGAGTTGTGAATTTCAAAAATTAGCTTTTCGTCAATTTTCATGTATATGTGTCCTATGTGACTTAATTTGATTAGTGTTATAATGTTGGCTGGAAACACTTGCGAGAGAAGCTTTACGCTAAGACCTCCAAGTGTAGAAGCTATAAGCTGTGTATGTGGTTGAGCTTGTTTAGGACTACCGGCACGATTAGCTACTTGAGTAAAAGCTGTCGTGACGGCCGACATTGTTAGTCGAAAGGGTCAAGCGAGCTAACCATTCTAATGTTTGGCGATGACCGCCGATGTTAAGATTTTTTCGGGCAGTGACTGATCGATTCCTATGGGAAAGTGTAGCTCGACAGTATTTCTTAAACTGTTGTAGCTTGAGAAGTCTTGTTGGAAAACTTTTTCCTATCTGAGTATCTAGGGATCTATGGACCCGAAAATTGAAATTTTTTGTATGTACCTTAAACTGAACGCCGATCTCTGGACGGGTGTAGCCACGCAAAGTGGTGGCCGAGCCCGCACGCCCGTGCTGAGAGACGTGAGGCCAACTGCAGTGACCGACTGTTGACTCGCACGAGAGCTGCCGTCCCCATCACCGAACGCAGGAACTCCCCAGGCAGTGTGTACGGCCAAACCTTGACCTTGCAGCTGGTCCCCGAACTGGTGCACGCACGCGTCCCAGCGCCCCGCTTATGCAGCGCCAGTGTGTGTGTCACCTCTCGGGTGGCAGTGCATTAAACTCCGAACCGATTATGTCCTTTTTGGTCGGTAAACCAGTATTCTTTGTCATGAGTGTTGACCTTTGGAACCGTTTCTCCTGAACCTTGAACCGTACCGTTGCATGAATTCTCTAATCAACAACTCTCGATATGTGAGGCTTGTCGATTAGTTTCCTTTGCCATATGCGAGATTCTCTCGAGATGGCAAGATAGAGGTCCCGCATCGTTTCTGAGCAGCGTCTCGAGTCTCGATTGGAGACTATGTATACTTCGTAGGGATCGAGACCTATGATGAGTGAGAGGGTATTGGGGGTTAGATCGTTAGTATGGGAATATCGAACATCTCTAATCGTGAGACAGATTCTGCGATAGGAGATTGTTTTAGAGGTAGGGGTGGAACGATAATACCATCGACGAAGCCTCCCTTGAGCGCCATCATGAATGCGCCCGACCATGCGTTATAGTTGTCTTCGTAGAACACCTCTGCAACGATTATGACCGCAGGGTTGTTGGGCGCGTGCAGATAGTATGGCGTGGACGGGTCATTGGATGGAGAAGTTATGGTCGTCATGATGTAATAAGAGATGACCGACATCAGATCAGAGTGGATCGACTGATATCGGAGTGGATCGATGAATATCAGTGAAGATCAGAGTAGATCTAGGGTTTTTACCCTTCGAGAAGAAGAGCAAAAAATATGCAAGAAACTGAGAAAAAAAATATGTGCAGCGATATATAAATCAGAAATTTATCTGGCAAATGATACCCTAACCGTTTATGAATTTGCAGTAAGATTTTAATAGAAGAGAATCAAAGAAGATGAAGAACAAGGGCAAAATATTTTCATTGAGAGCATGAAAAGGGCTAAATTTCATTTTTAGTACACTATGTTGGTCATTTTTCGAAAAAGATCCATCGTATAGGGTGTCATCAAGAATGGTGCACTAAGTTGCCACTTTTCATCAAAACTCGTACACTAGCTAACATATTGTATTAAAAATGACAATCACTTTTAGTACGCTATGTTGGTTTTTGTACGAATTAAAGTAGCAGCTTAGTAGACCATTTTTTATGACGCCCTACATGATGGACATTGTTTGGAAAATGGCCGACATTGTGGACCATTTTTAAAATTTTGCCTGAATTAGAGATGAAGAAAAATTAATGAATTGAGTGTTAGTTCTGTGTATTTATATCTACTTAACCAATACTAGAGTTGTTATAGCGACTTTACACATTTTGGCTACAATAATAATTAATACAATACACGTGTATTACACGGGTGTTTGATAGAAAGTTATTCTTAAATTTTAAAATTAATGAAAAAAATTATTTTAAATTTTATTTACTTTTTTACAAAAAGTATATATCATTATATATTTTAGAATGACACTTCTTACTTGTGCGAATTACATATGTTTTATTATAGTAATTTTATAACTTATATCATGTAACTACGTGAAATATAAATATATTAATTGATAAATAATTTTATTTTTTTAATTAATATTAAAAAATAATTTTATTATTGTTATAAAGATAAATATAATTTATTTTCTTATACATACAATATGGATGTTAAATCGAAGCTCATCAAGAGATGATTAATTTGATATATTATATATGTAAAACTGATAAAAAATACAAAAGTTATTAACTTTTAAAATACATTTACAATTCAATGGTTATAATAAGAAATGATATTAAAATGCAGTTAATTCATGTAACATGACCATTAATAATCAACATATTTATGGATAATCCGGACGTAATTATTTTTGGATTTGAAGTAAATTAAAATCTACCCAAACCTAATAACAAAGCATGTAAATTTTCCACATAGGACTCCGAAGCATGCGAGTCCACCACTTAGGCTCAACACGTTTTAAATTAATATATAGGGGATAAGAAAATGGAGGTTTATATTCTAATATAGAATGTGATATATAGCTAGTCCATGTTGGATAAAAGAAATTAATGATCACAGTTCTTGAGTCATGGTTCACTTCTGACTATATTTATTATTTACATGTCCTATATTTTGTGACCCTAATTAGTATTACTTTGTTAGCAAAATCCAGTCAGTTATGGTTTTCTTAATTAGTATTACTTTTGCTATAATAAAAGATTGGTGCTTGTTTTGTCCACAAACATAAGTTGACATAAAATACCTAAAATGAAACCATGAGGAATCAGACTGCATTTCAACAAACATCCATTTGATTTGGATCAACAATCCACTTATTTATTAACATGTGGCATACGTTGTTAAACGTCAATACTTGTAACACTAAATATGCTCTTAGCCATTCATTTCCCGAAAAGATTTTTTTTTTTTTTTTTTTTTTTTCTCAACTAAAATAACTTCCAAGAAGCTTTCATTTTTTATTCCTTTCTCCTCACCTTATATAATACCTAATGACATTATTACCTATAAACAACATTAATGAACAAATTCTAGAGACAAAAAACTATGTTATTTTTCAGAGTAACACCCAAAACTATGAAAAGTGGCGCATGGATTTGTAGGGGTTTTGTTTCTGCCTCAAGACCGTCCCACCAAGCTGTAAGTGATAATATATTCACAAAACTATGTTTATTATATGGATTTTTCAATTGAATTATGATACAACAACTATATATATGTAATAGTTTTTCAATCTGCTTCAGTTTTATTAAAAAAATGAAAATGAATAAAATCTTCATACACTTAGAAAACTATGAAATAACAATATTTTGATTTAATCTTTTAAATAGGTAAAAATTGATAAAGAGACGTGTGGTAAGATAATAGAATCGGCGGAAACTGTGAAAGACGGGACAAAAGAGGTGGTTGGTGAAGTCAAGCGTATGACACAGATCGTTTCAGAAAAGGTCGCCAGTGTTGCTGGAAATGTAAGATTTCATTTGATAAATAAAATTTAATTTTATTTATCAAAATAAATTAAAAGGTCACCAGTATTTTATTTATCATTGTCTTGAGAAAAAAAAGTCACGCTACTATATGCATAACGATTTGAATCTTGAATAATATCAAATGAAATCATAAGATCATATTTGTATTCCAACATTCCATTTTCAGCAATAAAGGAATTTTACGAAGATAATTCAACAATGCTTTATTTTAATCCATAAGCTCAAAACTCTCATAAGTTCAAATCTTTGGTTAAAGTTATCTTTTAAGAAATGATTCATTTTTTGGCAAACATCATACTTAGCATATTAATTTAACAATTTCACAAAAAAAGTATACTAATCATTAGTTGTAGGATAAAGGTTTGTCTAAGTTAGATCGTAAAGATCAACCTCGGGTCGTCTAACAAGTAAAGTTGTTCGGAGCTAGTTCCAATTTTAGTTGTCAAAACACAAAAAGAGAAAATAAAAGTTCTTAATATTCTAAGCACATTTAGGGGGTTGATAGGTTGATTTTGAGCTAATTAATCTAAGAAATTAAAAGTGATTACCTAAATATTCGAACTTTAACTAAAGATTTGAACTTTCACTAACACATAGTCTCCAAGTACTCAAGTAAAACGAAAACAAAGCAAAAACTATAAAGTCAGATGTCGAACTGTCCTTTAAATTATATATTTTTAAATAAAAAATATTTAAAAATATATATATATATATATTTAATTATGAGGAAACCCTCAATCCATCTCCCCATCTCATCTCGAATTAATCCACCCGTGTAATATATATATCTATATTGTTTGTAGTATTTTTGGGCATGTGGTAACCAGAGCTACCCGACTCGGGTCATTCTCAAAGGAAGGCTGTTCGGAGCTTCGTTCACTATCTAGTCGTCAAAGTCACATAACCAAAAAGAAGGTCCTAAACATTCTACTCGCTTGATTGTGGGTGATTTGCACGCAATTACACTAAAAATCTAGAGCAAATGATGAAAATGCGAGAATCGAAGGAATTGTCAGAGCATTGGTTGCACGGGATCTCCATAACTCAAGAAAATAAAAGAAAACAAGAGAAAACATGCGAGCATAGTGATCCTAGGTAACCGAACACGAGCTTTCTATACTAAATCATCACGCTTTGAACAAAGTCGAGACTTTTACACTAGATAAGCATGTATTGATTCCTAACACACAAAAGCAAGCAATAAAAATAAAGCAAAACCCTAGAAACGAGCATAAACACAAAATCGAAAGAAACAAACTCGAAGTAGTAAGTCCTAAGCAAGGTACCTACTCTCCTATCGCGTGCCCGGACGAAAATAATGAATAAAGCTCGAAACTTGGATGAAAATAAACTTGCCGGAATTTCGCCAGAAAATTGAGTCATGGACCTCCCAACCAAAGCATAAAAAAAAGAAAAGAGAGAGAAGGGAGAAAATAGAGAGGATTTCCCAACTTAAAAGTTGAGAAATGAGGGTTGTTGTCCAAAATTACAAAGCACAATGTCTTTATATAGCTACACCACAGACACACACATTTAGTCAAAAATGACACAAACACTCTCGAGCTCGCCAAAATTTCCGCCAGGTCGCGAGTTGGCACGGGCACTGGGCACTGGACTCGCGCGGTCGCGGGCTGGCACGCTGGG